CTTTCAGACTAATCAATCGAGTCTGTTTTTGATAGTATGTTGAAATTTCGGCACACTAATTTGTACGTTTCAATAATACATTATTTCATTGTGTGTTTATAAATATTGATAAAATAGTGTGCGTTTCTAGTTTTCCTCTTTTATTCTTGTCCAGTTCAGTGGCCAGTATATTACTAAATATAGTATGGTGACGTAAGCGGAGACTTGCCAAAGTTTTTGAGTCCCGAGCAACAGGAAAGATAACTCCAAAAAGGAACTTTGATACCAGAGATTTTGAAAATGTTTTTTCTACATCAGTGCATTTAATTTTAATTCAATTTTTTGATGTAATCTAATTCATTAATGTTTCTTCTCTACAAAAGGAGTCTTTGTTGATTTTTCTCGTGATGTATTTAAGAGAAAATGAGTTTTATGTACTTTTTATAAATAAAATAAATTTCTGTAAAAAATGTGTTGATCGATAAAATTAAGTTTTTATGGTTATTCTGTGAACTTAAAAATATACGAAAGGGTAAGACAAAAATTTTTGTGCTAGGTATAAAAACGCCTTGGGAAAAAATTCTTGAAACTTGTGAAATAATTATTTTAAAAAATTAGTATAAATTACATTTTAATCCCTGGACAGTTTTTAAAGGTTGATATGCTTGTTAAAAGTAATGCTCAATAATATGAGAACATAAGCTATGGGTGTGTGGAGGACCCTTAATTGAAAGAATTACATCAAATACAGTAACTGTACTTGGACAAAAAGTCGCAATAACTTAAAGTATAGAACAAACTTAATTGACCAAGATTTTATATTTTAAGTTGTTTACAGAGTATTTATATACTAAAAGGTGTGAGAAAGTTTTAAAGCATCTTTATTAGGATATTTGATTTTTGAAGAAATCTTGATTTAAAAAATAAATTTGTAGTAAGAAATAAGGAATGAATAGAGAAAATACTTGTATTTGGCTGACTCTGAGTTGAACGGAGGACCCTTAAATCTGGTGCTTTATTATTAAACTAACCAAGTCAATATCCATAGCCCATATATATGGCACGCCAAATCCACAAAAATGAGCAAAACATAGTTTCACAGTCGATAAACTAGGTTTATCGGTTGTAAACTATAGTTTACGGACTGTAAACTATAGTTAACAACGTTAATCTATATTTTACATCTGTAAACCATAGTTAACGCGAAAATATATCTTTCACAACCGTAAACTATACTTAAAACATCGAAAACAATCATTTGCGATTGCAAAACATAGATTATCTGATAAATACAGTTTCACGATTTGTAAAGTATGGTTTACAAACCGTTAACTATAGTTAACGATCTGATAAATATAGTTTTACGATTTGTGAAACTATGATTAACAACTCTTAACTATAGTTTACAAACGTGAATCTATGTTTATCAACAAAATCTATTGTTAACGCTTTATTCAGACAGATAAACTTAGATTAGCATTCGTAAACTATAATTAACGACCGTTAAATATAGTTTAACAGATGAAAACTATACTTCACGAATCGTTAACTATAGTTTACGGTTTGTAAACTATAGTTTACAGTCGATAAACCTAGTTTATCAATTGTGAAACTAGGTTTATCTCATTTTTGTGAATTTGGCGTGCCATACATATAGCCCCGACAAATTTATGTACTTTTATATACTGTGTCTAGTTGTAACAGAAGAGGAAAGAAAAGAGGCAGAAGAAAATGGAGAAATATTAACTCCTCCTGAAGATTATGAAGAAGAGCTGAATGAAGACGATCAGAACCTACCAGAAAATGGCGAGCAGGAAACAGTTAAAAGTGAAAAGAATGATGAATCTCCCAAGGAAGAGAACTCTCCACAAACAGACAAACAGACAGAAACCAACTCAGAAATCAAAACCCCAGAACACAAACCAAAGATGCCACCAGTAAAACCCAAGCAGTCCCTGCTGGATCCTGTCACGTTAACCTGGGAAGAAACAAAGTCAGTATCAGGTTTAAAAATGTAGTATTTTGTAGCTGCCCGCATGGTGCAGTGGTAAGAGCATCTGCTTTAGAGTTGTAAAGTAAGGAGTTGATCTTTGTGTCGCGGGTATGAATCCCACTGTGGGACGTGGAGACCAGTCCCTTGGATGAGGTACAAACTGAGGTTCTGTGTCATAGTAGGTGTTGGCACGAAAAAGATCCCTTACTGCTTAATGGATGTGAGTGCCAAGTATTGGACAATTTGTAGCTCACCAAGAAGAAGTGGTGGTGTCTCCATTTAAGTGAAAAATTCTTGAGAGGTACACTAAAGAACCAACAAAATTGTGTGATCGATCCAAAAAACAATCCTGATTTTAATTAGTTTTAAATAGTTTACAAGTTAATTTATCTTTGGTATTTGGCTAATTCTTACATAATCAATGCGATCAAATGACAGTTTCTCTAGTTAACTCCTATACCGTGACTGCCTGAGGCATGCTACTTGGCCAGGTGGCTGTGTGCATTCAAGTGAGAAGTGATTTCTTGTGAATTCACACCTCTGCTTGCTTTGTTTAAACAAAGGGATTATCAGCACGCACCAAATAAACAGAGCAGCTAAGGAATATTGCCACTGCTGGGCATCGCTGCATTTCATTTGCGGAAATATGCATAGCATTTCCGACATTTTTTAATTTCATTTCCGACATTTTTTTGTTTTCATTTCTGACATTTTTTTTTTTTCATTTCCGGAATTTACCTGTGCGGCAATTCAATGTTTTTAAGTAAAAGAAAATGGAATTTTAAATGTATTTATACCAAAATATGAATAAAAAATTTTTAAAAAAAACATCTATACATATATGCATACATGTAGCACTAAGTCTAGGACGGTAATGCATAAAACTTTTCCCCCACATTTAATGTGCACTTAATTAAATGTCAGTGACAGCACCATATTTATTTCCAAGTCACTGATAGATTTACAAAATTGGATTTCAATTATGTATTAATGATTTATTCCTTTAAATTATTCATAAGTAAAGTTATCAAATCTGTTACTTTAGGTACTGCATATGTATTTGAAAAATGTCGGAAATGAAATCTAAAAAATGTCGGAAATGAAAAGTTGATAATTACCCAGAATTCCGGAAATGAAATGCAGCCGCTGGGCATATTTATAAATTTTTGGCTAGAAAAAAGGGCATGGCACTGTGCCATGTTAGTTTGCTTTAGATTTAATACTAAAACAAGCATTAACCATTTGTGATTTTCGGTATTTATTCTGAGGGGATTTTCAGATTGTGAAAAACTCTTAATTTTTTGCTGTCCTTTTTGACTATTGGCATACAAATTCATTTGCGTTTTATTTTCTAGCAAAATTAGAGAGGAGTTGGGCTTAAAACCCTTGCCATTTGAGAAAATCACAACACCAAAACCTGTACAGAAATCCAATGAAAAATCAAGGGTAAAGTTATTTTTACATTGCTTATATTACGATTGAAAATCAAGAGATAACTTTTTTTATTTACTTGTTGAAGCCTCAACTTTTTTTTTTGGTATTGCAAAGAGTTGATTCAGAAAAACATGTACTTTAAGATATTATAAATGTTAACTTTTTTCTAGGAGAGCCATTGTATGTAAAGAAAACTAATCTTATGTACAGTTTATCTAAAATTAAAGTTCATGTAGATTTTTGTTTAATAGCAACAGCAGCTGAATTTGTATATTAATTTAACTTTCAGAATGCTCATGTTTTACAAGCGGTGCTGATTTTAATACGAGAGCTAGACAGAGAGAGTTTAGAGATTGTGAACAGTGCTACACAGAAAATGTTACACTCAGATATATAATGCTGTATACATTAGTGAGGTTTTAAAACATGTTATTTTTCACAAAACCATTTCTCTTAAGTTTTAAGTAAGTAAAGCATTTATAGTAAAAATATTCCAATTTATAAAAGGGAGGGCGTCTTAGAAAGACAATTAATGTATAAAACTAGGCAGTGCACCAATGGAATGAATGTTGAATGTCTAAGAGTGGAGAAGACCTCATTTTATTACTAAGTTTATTACCTCTTGTGATTTATAGGTCACTTCAATTCTCATTGTATGTCTTTGCAGTGCTTGAATTTATGTTAATTTACCCCAAGATATTTTATAGGTAAAATAGGAATAATCATTAAAACTAAAATCCATTCAGTAAATATGTTTTAGGTGTTTACATGAGTTGCCATAAAAAGTTTTTTTTTTAATTTTTCATGTTTATTGGGAGGGGGTGGGGATGCATCAATGAAGAATAATTGTGTGAATTGCCAGTAGAGAGCTTTTTTGAGCTCATGTTGATTTTTAACTGCCATATTGACTTTAAATATTATATGTATTCTAGTAATATCATTTTATGAATTGATTTATGAAGTTCATTTATTTGCAATACTACCTTATTCTCTCAAAATTTTGTTTTTCTTGATTTAAATTTTTATCTAGATGATACTTTCATGTTTGTTAATTGGACCCACCAATATTCTTATTGTTTTTCTTGATTGAAGATCTTATATGTCACAGAAAAGTGATGTTGTGTGCTCAATTTTTTGAAGTATTAATGTCTTATGTAGTGTAAATATTGTTTATTGAAATATTTTATTCATAGAATTGATTCAGCAATACTGAGCATTTAATATACGTACGTATACGTACTATGTATGTACATTTATATGTGTGGATCTAAATCCAGTATGTATTTATGTAACCTTCAGTTCCGTCCATGTGTTGATTTCTTTTTTCATTATACATGTAATAATATCAGTGATATATATATAATGCATCTTGTTTTATCAAATAATAAACTTTGATCAACAAATCTGATTTTCTGGAATGAGATTAATGTCCCAATAGATTGAAAACACACTTAAAAACAAGACTGCATGGTCATGATGGAAAAATTTGTGTTTCAATATGAAGAATTTTTACTCAGATGCAAAGTTGTTGCTTCAGAAAGATTTTAAATTACCCATTAAAACCATTATGAACATTTTTTATCACCACAGACTGACATTGAATTGATTTAAGTTGCACACAGAAGAACTTGACTTTATTTATTCCTTACAAGGAAAGGTTAAAGAAGAAACATTGACACTGCCATTTTTAGCTCACCTGAGCCGAAGGCTCAAGTGAACATTTCTGATCACTTGTGAAAAATTTATGGAATCTTTTGAAAATCTTTTTTTCAAGAACCACTCTGCTAGAAAATATGTAATTGATGTGGAAGCATCCTCAGGTAGTATGGATTTAAGTTTTTACACATCATGACCCCCGGGGGTAGGGTGGGGCCACAGTGGGCGATCCAAGTTTTACATAGGGATATATAGAGAAAATCTCTAAAAATCCTCTTTTCAAGAACAGCGAAGCCATGATCGGTCATATTTATAAGGAATCATCCTCAGGTTGTGTCAATCAATTCAGTTTTGTTCAAGTCATGACCCCCAGGGGTAGGGTGGGGCCTCAATGGGCGGTGTACGTTTTACATAGGAATATATTGGGATTGGGAGCATCTTTAAAATTCTTCTCAAGATATATGGAAGCATCCTCAGGTATTGTAGATTTCAGTTTGTTCAAATCATGACCTCTGGGTTAGAGTGGGACCACAGTGGGCGATCAAAGTTTTACATAGGAATACATATGAAGAAAATGCTGTGAAAATAATGTAAATATTGATTTAAAACCATCCTAATCAATCATATACTAGTAAAATGTAGCAGGCTGTATAAAACTGCTGAAGGCGACCTGTAAGTGTACATGTATATTACTAGTGTCTTCAAAGGCGGATCCAGGGCCGGCGCGCCCCCGTCCCCCCCCCCCCCCCCCCCCGTTTTGAATTTTACGTATGTAAAATTTAAATGTCCATTATCCTAAAATCAAGGAAAACATCTCTTATTTGTAAGAACTTGTTAGCTTCCGGGGGCTTCGCCCCCGGGTCCCCCAAAAAGGACCTTGCCACCTGACCCTCTGCCTTCTACTGCGCCCCCCCCCCTTTCGAAATTCCTAGATCCGCCACTGGTCTTCCCTGAAATGTTTGTCGGAAAACGTTTGTGTTTCATGTTTCAATATTGTTCAAATAATTCAACGTTCAATGCATTTTTCCATCAGATGAATTACATGTACGCAGTGTAAGGTTACTTGCCAATGCTATTACAAAAGAATCCAGGCTATGTCAGTCGATACATTTATTTGTCTTTCTTAATGAACATTTTCTGTCTCCATTCTGCAAACATGTTCCAAATTGCTTTTCGAGTGTTTTCAGACGGAAGTAAAGAATCAAAATCAAAATTTTGATCTATAACAAAAAACTAGAGGTACTGTGAGCAAGTACTAGTGAGCTCACTAAATGATACCCCCGCCTCGTATATGATTATAATGGCAAAATCCATGTTTTGCTTTGGAAGACCGAAAATAAGCTGTCAGATCAAAACGTAAAATAGGAGGTGTACAATGGCATTATGTAATAAAGAATCTTTGAAAATATTTTATTCAGTGGTACAGGTGGAGTTGCAGATAAGAGATGGATATCCTTCAATACTATAGAAAAACAAGAGGCCCAGGGGCCACATTGCTCACCTGAGCACTGTAGCTAAGAAGCAGATATCAGTATTGAAAAGCTTTTAAAAAATGCATTTATTAAAATTGTCCTGACCTACAACTAAACGGGATGGGGATGATTTGAACAAAATTGAATCTACACTAACTAAGGATGCTTACATGTACATATTTTTGACTGTGACTTTTTCCTACAAGTTTGAAATTTCATTGTGGCTCCAATCCTACCCCTGGGGGTCGTGATATGTACAAACATGAACCTACACTACCTGAGGATGCTTTGATATAAATATATGACCAATCATAGCTTTGCTGTTCTTGAGAACAAGATTTTTAAAGATTTTCCCTATATATTCCTATGTAAAAATTTGATCGCCCACTGTGGCCCCACTCAATCCCCGGGGGTCATGATGTGAACAAACTTAAATCTACATCACCTGAGGATGCTTCCACATAAGTTTCATATTTTCTAGCAGAGTGGTTCTTGAGAAGATTTTTAAAAGATGCCATAAATTTTTCACAAATTTGCAATTATCTCCCCTTGGAAGAAGGCGTGGCCCTTCATTTGAACAAACTTTAATTCCTTTCACCCAAGGATACTCTGTGCCAAGTTTTGTTGAAATTGGCCCAGTAATTCTGGAGAAGAAGATGAAAATGTGAAAAGTTTACAACGCCGACAAAGTCACGACAAAACCACGACGACAACGACAGACAACGGACAAACTTTGATCAGAAAAGCTCACTTGAGCCTTCGGCTCAGGTGGGCTAAAAAGCGAGGGAGGGGACATTAATTGATTATGTTTCGACGGCAACGTGCTTTTTGTCGGACCAAAGAACCAAAAACTTTGCATGAGAGTAAACAGTTTGGTTAGAGGGGTAGACAACACGCACTTAGCCCGAGAACGCAGTCAATAGATTTCTGCTGTATAAGTTTTCCTTTTTATTTTGAAAAATCTTGCGCTTACTTTCATGTTTTCCATAATTAATGAAATATAGCTGATCCAGGCGCAGATCGAGGATTTTTTTTTCGGAAGGGGGTGGAGGGTCCACCCCAGTCAAAATAAAATTCCAACCCAGAAATATCTTGACGAGCACAAAAAAAAACCCAAACCAAAACAAAAACGTTAAACTCATATCCAAAACGTAATAAAGCCTATTTCAGGGATGTGGTGTACGTGCGGGTGAGTGTGACCGTTGACCGTTAATAACTCTGCAATTTAAATCCCTCTCCCCCCCCCCCCCCTTGATCCGCGCATTGAAGAAAGTATTTATCAATTACTAATTCATCCATACATTCATGTTTGCCCCATTAAGGCTCGTATTTGTGATGTTTGTAAAAAATAAATCACGTTCATTATAAAATAAACCACTCCACAGAAATTTGATTTATTTATTAAAGTAGAGCTTTGAGCTTCCACTTTGCATCCTGAGTTTCATTAATTTTTTTAAGGATTCATTTGCAGGCTTGAGTTTAACAAGAGGCCCATGGGCCACATCGCTCACCTGAGCATTGTGGCTAGGAAAAAGTAGAAATTGGTTTATTATTGAAAAGTTTAAATCCAAAAGTAGTCCCATGACCAATCATGGATTTGCTATTCTTGAGAAGATTTTTAATGAATTTTCCTATAGATTTCTATGTAAAAGTTTCGCCGGCCATTTTGGCCCCGCCCTACCCCCAGGGGTCATGATTTGAACAAACTTGAATCTACACTACTTGAGGATGCTTCTATATGAATATGATTAATTATTGCTCTGCGATTCTTGAGAAGAAGACTTTTAAAGAATTTTCCTAAACCTATATATTTCTATGTAAAAGTTTGGTCGGCCATTTTGCCCCACCCTACACTGAAAAAATTTGAATCTACACTACCTGAGGACGCCTCCATATAAATATGATGAATTATGGCTTTGTCATTCTTGAGAAGAAGATTTTTAAAGAATTTTCCTATATATTTCTATGTAAAACTTTGGTCGGCCATTGTGGCCCCACCCTTCCCCCGGGGGTCATGATTTGACCAAACTTGAATCTTCACTATCTGAGGATGCTTCCATATTAATATGATGAATTATGTCATTGTCATTCTTGAAAAGAAGATTTTTAAAGAATTTCCCTATATATTTCTATGTAAAACTTTGGTCGGCCATTGTGGCCCCGCCCTACCCCCGGGGGTCATGATTTGAACAAACTTGAATCTACACTACCTGAGGATGCTTCCATATAAATATGATGAATTATGGCTTTGTCATTCTTGAGAAGAAGATTTTTAAAGAATTTTCCTATATATTTCTATGTAAAACTTTGGTCGGCCATTTTGGCCCCACCCTACCCCCAGGGGTCATGATTTGAACAAAATTGAATCTACACTACCTTAGGATGCTTCCATATAAATATGATGAATTATGGCTTTGTCATTCTTGAGAAGAAGATTTTTAAAGAATTTTCCTATATATTTCAATATAAAAATTTGGTCGGCCATAGTGACCCCGCCCTACCCCCGGGGGACATGATTTGAACAAACTTGAATCTACACTACCTGGGGATGCTTCCATATAAATATAAGCAATTATGGCTTTGCTGTTCTTAAGAAGAAGATTTTTAAAGAATTTTCCAATACATGTGTATATTTCTATATAAAACTTTGGTCGGCCATTGTGGCCCCGCCCTACCCCCGGGGGTCATGATTGGAACAAACTTGAATCTACACTACCTGGGGATGCTTCCATATAAATATGAGCAATCATGGCTTTGCTGTTCTTGAGAAGAAGATTTTTAAAGAATTTTCCTATATATTTCTATATAAAACTTTGGTCGGCCATTGTGGTCCCGCCCTACCCCCGGGGGACATGATTTGAACAAACTTGAATCTACACTACCTGAGGATGTTTCCCCATAAGTTTCATCTTTCCTGGCACAGTGGTTCTTGAGAAGAAGATTTTTAAAAGATACCACTAATTTTTCATTAATTCCCAATTATCTCCCCTTGAATGAGGGCGTGGCCCTTCATTTGAACAAACTTGAATCCCCTTCACCCAAGGATGCTTTGTGGCAAGATTGATTGAAATTGGCCCAGCGGTTCTTGAGAAGAAGTCGAAAATGTGAAAAGTTTACAGACAGACAGACAGACAGACGGACGGACGGACAGACAGACAGACAGACAGACGGACGCCGGACAAAATGTGATCAAAAAAGCTCACTTGAGCCTTCGGCTCAGGTGAGCTAAAAACGAAGCTCTTTATTCGTTTAGTTATGGGAAAATGTTGAAGTTAATTCGCCTTGCGACAGTCAGCTGTGGTACCCGCGTAACATGTGTAGCCACTGATGAACAAGACTACACGGAGTCAAGAAGGTGTAACAACGTATTGTGTAACCGGAACCAATCTAATTAAAATTACATGTTAGATCCGCTCGCTACACTGTTAGTTTAGCGAGTATGCAAGCGGATCTAACATTTAATTAG